CTGCTATTTCATGCAAATAACACATCAAGCATAAAACCATTGCACCAAGATTTTTTTTGGTTGTGTTTCCCCTTTCTTCCAAAACAATGCATGATCTCACATATTCACCTAGATTTTTTGGTAATTCAAAGTTTAGTATAAGAACAGAAATCATGTTGGTGTTTGTCCAAAACAAATGAGTTCTGAAAATTCAAGAGATTCCTTAGAGAGGTAACCATACACTAAAAAAAAACAAAACAAAAAAAACAAGAAAAAACACAATGAAATGACTCTAAAGTTGAGTTTCATTTGAATGAATAATGAGAAATCACTTTGCATATTCGCATGAAAACAAAGCTTCCTAATCCTAAAGGCATGCATTTGAGATGAAGAAAGGTCATCTTTGACAATCCTTTTCACAAGGCTGAAATATATCCTTTACAGTTCCCTTTTGAGCCTAGTAATGTTTTTTTTAGAAATAACCTTGACTAGGATCACACCCTACAGTGGGGGGCAAGTGCCAAAAAATCCTTAATGATTAAAAATGCCCAAATAACTCTTGGGGGCATGAAAAAGACCTCGACAATTGAAAGTGCCCAAACAATACTGGGGGCATAAAAGAAAATTCTCAATCATCGAAGATGCCCATACAAAGCTGGGGGTATAAAAAAAAATCTAAAGGATCCAAAAATTTTAGGCATAAAAAAAAAATCCAAAGGATCCAAAAACTTTTTCATCTCATCTTTTTCTTCATCACTTGAAGGACACTGCTTAGAACTTAGTTTAAAGTGGCTTGCAAGTGGAGAACAAACAGGTTTGGAGTTGCTCATGTTGAATCTCTCAAGTACCTTTTGAACATATCTCTCCTGAGATAGCCAAAGTTTTCCCTTCTTCCTGTCACGTGTGATCTTCATACCAAGAATCTGTTTTGCTGGTCCCAAGTCTTTCATTGCAAAAGACTTGCTCAACTCTTCCTTCAACATCTGAATCTTCTTAGCATCATGGCCAACAATCAACATATCATCCACATACAACAAGAGAATAATAAAGTTTCCATCTGGAAACCTTTTCATAAATACACAATGATCAGAAGTGGTCCTGTCATAACCATGATCCACCATAAAAGAATCAAACTTCTTATACCATTGTCTTGGAGCTTGCTTTAACCCATATAAGCTCTTTTTCAACTTACAAACTAGCTGCTCTTTACCTTTTGCTTCAAAACCTTCAGGCTGCTCCATGTAGATCTCCTCATCCAAATCACCATGGAGAAAGGCAGTTTTCACATCAAGTTGTTCTACTTCAAGATTCAAACTAGCAGCTAAGCCAAGCACAACTCGGATTGAAGACATCTTGACCACTGGTGAAAAGATTTCTTCAAAATCAATACCTTTCTTCTGTCCGAAGCCTTTCACAACCAATCTTGCCTTGTACCTTGGCTGTGAGCAATGTTCATCAATTTTCAACCTGAACACCCATTTGTTCTTGAGTGCTCTCTTACCTTTAGGAAGCTTCACTAACTCAAAGGTATGGTTTTCATGCAAGGATTTCATCTCTTCTTGCATTGCTTTCAACCACTCACTTTTCTTCTCATGTGACATAGCTTCATCAAAGCATTCTGGCTCTCCCCCATCAGTGACCAACACATACTCATGAGGAGAATATCTGGTGGAAGGTTGGCGAGGTCTAGCTGACCTTCTCAATTGTGGCTCATCTGAAGCTTCCTGCATAACCTGTTCAGGAATAACATCAACATCATCATTAGTTGCTTCAGGATCACCAACTAATGGCTCAATAAGAGAACCACCACCATCATCATTTTGCAAGTCTCCCCCATGATTAGCAGGCATTAAAGGTAACTGTGGAGTAGGTCTTGGATTTGAATTAGTTGGAATAAAAACAGTGAACTCTGTTTTCTCCTTTTGTTCAAAGTCTTCAATGGTTTGATCTTCAAAGAAGATAACATCTCTACTTCTCACAATTTTCTTCTCCTTTGGATCCCATAACCGATAGCCAAACTCATCATCTTCAGAGCCCAAGAAAATGCACTGCTTTGTCTTGCTGTCAAGCTTAGACCTTTCATCTCTAGGAACATGTACAAATGCCCTGCATCCAAACACTCTTAAGTGTGCATAAGAGACATCTTTTCCTTTCCAAACTCTATCTGGAACATCAAATTCAAGAGGAACTGATGGAGAAAGGTTGATCATTGCAACTGCAGTCTTCATTGCCTCACCCCAAAAAGACTTAGGCAGCTTTGCATGAGAGAGCATACATCTAATTCTTTCAACAATGGTTCTGTTCATTCTCTCAGCCACTCCATTCTGCTGTGGAGTCTTAGGAACTGTCTTCTCCAACTTGATACCATGTTCCCTGCAGTACTTCTCAAAAGGACCCCTGTATTCACCACCATTGTCAGCTCGAACACATTTGAGCTTTCTACCAGTTTCTCTTTCAACTCTGGCATGGAAATCCTTAAAGACATCAAGCACCTGATCTTTGGATTTCAAACAAGTGGCCCAAATTTTCCTGGAGTGATCATCAATAAAACTAACAAAGTACAATGCACCTCCAAGAGACTTGTCAATCATAGAGCAAACATCAGTATGAACTAAATCAAGAACATGTGATCTTCTATGTGAAGGTGATCTTTGAAATGCAACTCTGTGTTGTTTGCCAACTAAACAATGAGTACATGTGTTCAAGTTCATACCTTTTAATGGAAGGTAGTTCTTCTTGGCAAGGATGCCAAGGCCTTTCTCACTTAAATGTCCAAGCCGCTTATGCCACAGATCAGTAGAGCAATCTTCAATTGCATTCACCTCCCCTTTGATCACCTTGGCTTGTGACATGTAGAGACCCATTTTCTTCCCTTTAGCAACAATCAGGGAATTTCTGGAGAGCTTCCATTTACCATCTCCAAAGTAATTGTGATAGCCTTCTTCATCAAGAGTACCTGTAGAGATCAAGTGTAGGCGCATATCAGGCACATGCCTAACATCTTTGAGTAGCAACTTGCACCCAGTATTGGTTTCCAACCAAATGTCTCCAATGCCCACAACACTAGCCATCCCTTGATTTCCCATCCTAACTTGACCAAAGTCACCAGCAGTGTAGGATGTGTAAAAATCACGTCGGGGTGTAACATGGTAAGAAGCTGCTGAATCTGCAACCCAGGTGGTATCCTGACATGCAAGATTAACACAACCATCATCACAAACAATGGCAACATCACCATCATATACAACTGCAGCTGTACCATTCTCTTCATTCTTGTCTTCATCTTTACCCTTTTTATCTCTTTTATACTTTCTGCAATCCTTTTGCATATGCCCAGGCTTGTCACAATAATAGCACTTAAAACCCTTCCTTGACTGAGATCTTCCTCTTGGCTTCCATTTGCCTTTTCTATTGCTGGATTCTCTATCTTGCTTGCTGTGAGAGAACCTGCTTGGACTTCTCCCTCGACTTTCTGTAACAAGTGCATGAGACTCAGAAGTGCTTGTGCCTTTCCTCCTCTTCTCTTCATTGAGGATACAATCCTTCACTGTTTTCAAAGTGATCTTCCCATTCGGAGTAGAATTGCTAAGTGACACCACCAAAGTCTCCCAACTATCCGGCAATGAACTCAGTAGGATTAGTGCTTGCATTTCATCAGCTAACTCTAGATTCATCAATGACAACTGATTCAAGAACCCTTGGAATACATTTATATGCACTGAAGCATCTTCACCATCTCTATACTTCAAATTCACAAGGTCTCTAATTACAAAAACCTTGTTTTGTGCACTCTCCTTAGCAAATGTTTCTTCCAACATCTTCCAAACTGTATAGCAGTCATGTTCTTGAGAAATATGATTAATGGACTTAGAAGATACACATTTTCTAACATTACCAGTAGCCTTTCTATTAAGCCCATTCCGTTTTGCATCATCCATATCATCAGGTTTTATTCTTTTACATTCAATCGGCAAAGCCAAATCATTGCAATATAAGTGATCCTCCATCATTGTTTTCCATAGAAAATAATTTGAGGAAGTAAGCTTTATCATGCCGGAATCTTCCTTTTCCATTTTAACTGCACAAGAAATTCAATCTACACAACCAATGCTCTGATACCCTTTTGTTGGGAAAACTAGGAACAACCGGACACCAATTTACCCGGATCAATTCAGCGGAATACAATTACAATTCACAAGTCCCAATTATTTCCCTCTTTGTGCAGTAAAACAGAATCAAACAATGATGAAAAATAATGCAAATAATCACAAAATCAACACCAAGATTTTTAACGTGGAAAACCCGATGCGGGAAAACCCACGGGACCGTAGTCCACCTAAAAACTTCCACTATCAACAAATAATGAGTTCACAATCATTCTTTTCTTCCTCAGATTCAACTAAGGGATACAACATATATATCATCAAGAACAACTTATTCTTGGATTACAATAAGATTAAAGGAGAATTATTTGAGAAAAACTCACAAAACTGATAGCCCCGTTTTTTGTGAAAACGGTCAGCTTCCACACCACTAAACTTCGATCCAACCGTCCCGAATGAAGATCAACATGTTTAAAAGCTGCTGTCAAAATCTCAGCCCGATCCAACGGTGAACGAGCTAGAAATCGAAGAAAGAATGAAGGCTGCTCTGCTGCCTTTTCTTCTCTTTTTCTCTCTTAATTTTCTTCTCCTCTCTTCTCCTTTCAAATCTACCGCTACAGTACCTGAACCACATTAATATTAACACCAAGAGACAGTCATCAAATGAAAATTAATGTGATGGTCCCACTATCACATGGTATGGGACCACACACAAGACTTTGGTAGTCTTTACTCTTTTAGAATTTTCTATATGGATTTAATAAGCTGGTAACTCTTGGTAGTATCACGTGAAAAGGTATAAGAACCATGGGTCTTCAAATCAGGATATGGTAAAAGGAGATAGGCTTCGTTTGCATATTTGAAGATAATATTTTCAGTTCTGAAATGAGATAAAAAAAGGTTACAAACTTTCAGTACATCAAAACAACAAAATAAAGCTAAAAGGCATAGTATAACAATACATGAGAAAGTTCCATCCTTATTGAAGCATTAAAAATAACAGCACTACTCCACAGAAATATACCTCAGACCCAGGGAGCTAGGTTTTTCAGACTCAAGAATACCAGCAAGCCTTCTAGACCGATCAGCTAATTGTTCATTTATTCCAGGTCGACACTGCTTGCTTAAACCGAGATGTGCCATGAGAAGACAGACATGAGTGAGTAGCTCCCCACCTCGGGCAAGTGCATGAGTGTGCTGCTTCCATCCACAATGACTTGCGGCATACATCAACATGTCCACCCACACATGACTTATCATTTCCCATTTCTTGTCATTTGACCAACCATCCCGTGTCTCCAATGACTGCAATGACACAGCAAGCATGCAACCATCTAGCAGGGCCGACATTTCTCCTTTGCCTTGTTCTTCAATTTCCTTTAACACGGTAGACGGACTTTGAAGCAATTCTTTGAAAAAGGATTTCACTTCAGCTTCCTGAAACGATAATGCATTCAATTCTTCCATGGAAATGCTGAGCTTTACTGCTTTATGTGTATTCCAGGAGAGGAGACGACGCAAATGGATTCTCGTATCATTATACCTTGTTTCGCTGGGCTCTCTCGTTAACATGGTTGGACAATTAACCAGAAGATACAACATGTAATCGGATAATAATGTGCTGTTCAATATTACACTTTTTCGCTTCTTGTGAAAACCGTTCTTCTGATCAGAATCATATAAGTAACAAACATGAGTAGCAATGTGCCAAGTGAGGAGGCTATGAATGAATTCTACACCATCCACACTCCATCCAAATTTACCGATGCAATCCTTGCTTTGAAGTGCCTCGCGACCTCTCTCTTTCAATAGATTCTTGAGGAAAGTGAAATCACTGATATCGGGATCGTACCTTGAACGTTTATCCTTGACTTGTTTGAAGATCAATTCTTTTAAATCCTTCCCCACTTTTTGCCGGCTATCAATGCTCCCTATGATCCATGGAAAGTACTTCTTAAGAAGCTTGTTGTTTGATTGAGCACTTATTAGGTTGTGTTGTCCCATAGATCCTGACCAATATCTTTTGCACTTCCTACAAAATGTTAGTAACAGAGAAAGACAATTGATTCCACGGGGAATACCACCAGCTCTTTCACTAGTACTGGTAAGCCAAATAATAGTCCAGTCGGAAAAGAGATGCATAATGATGGAATAAGTTTCAAGGCACACAACTCCACTCAGCAACACGTAAGATATAATCTTATCGTTTTTCGAATAGACACTATTGCTCTTTGTCATTATTGAGAAGGAAACTAATGCAGAAATAGATGATAAGAAGGTGGTAGAGCGGAGAATGACGCGACACCTGGAAATCCTTGTCACCTTAGAATAAAGCCGATCATACTTGAATCCCAGCTCAACTTCTATCAAGTGGAAGGCTTCCTCCGCTTCCTTTTTAGAAACCAAATCATAGGTGAATTTTTGATCCAATCTGACGAGATCAAAATTCTTGGACAGTACCTGGAACGTTTTATATAAAATATAAGATTCATGGAGATATATGACCTCACTTCTTGTATTCTTGTAGCAGGGTAATATATCTTTAATCTTGATGCGATGTACTTCCGCAAAAGGTTGTGGCGACACATTATTGTATACGTGGATTCTCGTCAAAACCCAAATCCTTTCACCATATTTGATGATTCCTGATACAAAGATGGGAATGAATACCGACGTGATGACATTGTTGTTCCATAACCTGAACAATACATAACAAGCCACACCAACTCGGGTTACTAGCTGAAGAAGGCGAACTATCAATAATTTACTGGCTTGATCCATTGAATAAACAGGAATAGTTCCAGGGCCACCGAGGTGAACAAGAAGGATTGGAGCCCAAAACACAGGAATTAATTTCGGATTTGCGGAGTCAGCTTCGCTGCGAGCAAGGATACCCAACGAAAAAGTTGCCACCCAATCTGCAGACAGGTATGCTACCCAAAGAAAAGTCCCCAGCAAACGTCCATTAGTATACTTCCGTCGTTGTCCAACAAAGGTGAGCAAGATTTGCAGAAGGAGACTGAGTAACATTAAAGACCGAATCTGCCATTCATTCCATAGTTCTACAATATCTTGAGACAGATGGGCTAAATCAATCTTTGACGACACGTCCCTAGCAAACACATTTTTCAAAAATAAATCAGCATAGTTACAAAACGAACTTGAGAAAATTAAAAACAACATACAAAAGGACCATTTTTTTTCTTTTTCCTTATTATATACAAGGACTAATAATTCTATTTTCATATATATTAGGAGTTCATCTACGTTTTCCTTTTATTCATTTATTTTAGTTCTTAAACTAAACGGTTATATATTTTCATAAAAAAGAATTTTGTCTCAAGCCTAATTTTACCAAGTCAGATTAGGGATTCATCTAGCTAAACACGTTTTTTACAAGTTAAACACATTTTTGTAAATATTGGAACATTTTTCAACAAGTTAAACACATTGCTATCAAAATCATAAAGAACCAAACAAATTTTACATAAATAATATGCCATAGCATAACAAAGTTTCAACCACATAAACTGGCTGATCAGTGGTAAGATTTAGGATCTCATGTATCCATGAAATCTATATATGATTTGAAAGTAGTTGAGGTACAAACTGATACATTATATATATATATATATAAATCATTCATTCAAGCCAACCTTTCAAGTACTTAAATAAATAGCATCATTTATATCCACCAAAAATAACATTAATATAAAAAATTAATGCATAAACAAAAGCATGTAAACATACATTCACACAGAACTTGCAGCCCCAAAGTTTGTTGAAGTAAATGTCTGCCGACTACGCTGCTGTGTAACCAGCTTGAGTTGCGTTCCCAATCCTGGTGCCACAAATTTGTGTTTTATTAATTTATAGAGATGGTGATTTATTTAAGGATATTGTGCATCACGAAGCAAAATGTTAAATGTTTTTTATACTGCTTAGAAGGAATAGAATAAATAATTTACTGTCTGCACAAGCTATATACAACTTTATGAAATGTTTATGGTACGTACATATGAATGGTGGGTTATTCCTCTGAATAGGGTCTTTCCCACCAGCTATAGAATAAATTAATTTTTTTATTCACAAGCTAAACCTTGAGGACTTGCTCCCCTGGCTTTAATTTTCTGTATTTCACTTTTGATTGCTAGACTTCTGTACCTTTCTTTCTGGCCACTCTCTTGATGGACTTTATACCAATATATCTTCTCAATAGTAGCCAAAAACCATACCTGGATATTATACGTTCACGAGCATTAATAGTGGGGATTGTTATATATACACTAAAATTGATCAAAAAATTATAAAGTTTAGATCAAGAAGAACATGCCAAACTTGATTGTAGATGAGACTTGAATATGAATTGTGAATGGAAGGTATAAATAATCTACATGATACAAGATCAAGATCCTTAAAACAAGAAATAAGTGGGTAGTTATCTTTAATAAAATAAATATATAGTTATTAGAAGTTATTTTAAATAAGATGATTAAGTAGTCACTGGACGTTATCTTGAATTTTTTTATAATTTAAAAAAGGAGACAAGGCAATTAAGAACTCATATTCAACAAAACAAC